TGAGTGTTTAGCTTCGCAACTCAAGGTTCGTAAACCCCGTTAAGCCATGTTTAAGGGTCTTACACACCCTCGAAGGGTATGCAATAGTGTTTTATCGTTTTGTTACCTCACTTACCCCGATTAGGGTTTAAGGATTTAAATCATACGAACATTACAAGTGGTAACTTCTTATTAAAATAGCGAGTTGTACAGTAGCTAACATATTGCAAACCCTAATATACTAGGGTTAGTTGAGTTGACCGGTTTGACTTGTTGACTTTATTTGACTTTGACTTGACTAGAATTTGACGGTTGTGACAACGGGCGCTACAATTGGTTGTCGAACGGTTTACCTTTATTGGTAATTTTGTATTAGTAGCATGCGGTCGATAAAACATTGAAATTGTTGCTACCACTTTTGTGCATATTTTTAAGATTGTCAAATATACCGTTAAATTTCATGCAAGTCGTTCGTAGGCCATTCCATTTTGAATTGACCGAATCGTATGTCCGCTCCGTTTCCCTTCCTAATAGTGCATGAAAGTGTTCTAGAACACGATTCCAAAAACTTTGATCCGATTGCGCGTTCCCGCTGTCACTATCGTGTGATATGAAAATCCAAGCTTTCGCTAAAGCTTCATCCTCGTCTTTGGTCCATTACGCAGTTCTTTTTTTTTTTTGCTCTTTTCCTTTTTTTTGTCTTCTTTGAGTTGGTTATTGTGTTTCTTGGACGCGTTCGTCGTCGTCGTTGTCGAGGTTTATAGGTTGGGATTGAGATAATGAGACTTGAGATGGTTGTGAAGGTTGTGCGTGAAATTGTTGAGGTTAAGAAGATTTGGGTTGAAATTGTTGAGAATATTGTTGAAAGGATTGGAATTGGGGTTGATTGAATTCTTGTGGTCATTGTTGTTAGTAGTAGTTTGGGTGGTATGAAAGATCGGTAAATAGAGGTTGTTGTTGGATTGTGGATGATATCAATTGCATGTAACTAAGATTTGCATATGAATCATTTGGAGTATTTGAGGTGTTTGGAGTGGGTGAGTTATTTTGATTTGGATCCATAGGTTGAAGAAAAAATGATAAAATATAAAAAAATTATGTGTTTTTGTAGTGCGAAATGTTTAGAAAATAGGTGATACTTATAGTTGTAGTATATGTTTTTAAAATTGAAAAAGAAATAGTTTTCTTTTGTGCCCATCTTACAAAACAAACGGTCAAAAAAACGACCGTTATTGCCTTCCTTCTTCCTGATTCATCCGTCTTGGCCCATCTTTGCAACCACTTCACAGCCAAACCACCGAACACCGGACGATGTTTACGTGTAACTTGGTTGTCCAGCTCAGTTCGCACGTGTCCTTTTCAGTCCCACTTCGAATAGCCTTAGATAAACCATCCTTTTCAGTCCCACTCCGAATAGCCTTAGATAAACCATCTTGGGTTATTTGCTTTTATTTCTTTAAACCTCAAATCATTAAATAAAATAATATTTGTTTATATTTTAATACTATATATTTTATTATTTAAAAATTTCAAATTAATTTTTTATTTACAATTTTCAATGTTAAATTTTCAATTTTTAATATTATAATTTATTAACATAATATATCAAAAATATATAAATATCTTTAATGTTTTTTATGTGTATTTTATAATTAAAAAATCACGTTTGCATTTTCGAATATCATTGATAATACAAGATTAAAGCTAATTTTTCACATTTATGCTGGTGTTGACGTTGGGTTTGAGTTTATGTATTTTTATTTTTATTTTTTCCCGGATAGAAGAAAACCTTTTTTGGGTTAAAAAAAAAGCCATGCATTGGTTTACTTTGTAGATGAAAATGTGGATATTTAAAAAAATAACAAAATGTTTTTTTATATATATAAAATGGTGGACTGGTTAATGGTCTAAAATTAGCAAAATGTTATATCTATACTTATAAAACATATTATATAATAAAATTATAAAAAAATAGATAAAATAAAAGTATGTTAAAAACAATTAAATAAAATATGAAAGAAAAAGTACTCATGATAAAAAATAATTCAATAAGTCTTGTCAAGAAAAGAAAGATATTGTAAAATTTTAGGTAAAAGAAATGAGACCCAATAAAAAATAGTCAAATTTAGAATGAATTGTATGCGTAGAAAAAAATTATAGAACCATTTTAGTTATATTTTTGTCATTCAAAACCATTTTAGGTTCCGACATGGCCTATATTAATTATATTCATAACTATTTTATGATCTATTTTTTAGAAAGTTTTATAAGACCAGTCCTATAAGATTATTATACCGTTTTTAATGAACATTTGAATGAAAACACATCATTATATTTTTATTTTAATAAAAACAAATTAGCATAAAATTAACGTAAAAGTAATTAAAGCAAAATCAAACGTATTTTTAATGGACAAAAATAGTGGTTTTTCCCTTTTAAATTTTAAACAATCAAAATATTACGTTGTGGGTCTTTTTTCAGTTGTGCGACTTCAACGGTCGTAAGCTTTCTCCCTTCTATGAAATGATTCAGCGGTTGATGAATCGTTTACTTCTTCTTTACCAAATTGCCTAACAAGCAAATTCCTTCTACATCTGTTTATCGATATTGTCTTCAAATCAATCAAAAGTTGTGAATGGACTCCAGAAATAGAGTGATCAATGCAGAGCACAAGTTCTCAGCGACCAAATTGTTCAATTACAGTAAAGGAGACACTGAAGAGCATATGAACAAAGCATTACTCGAGGGAGCTCTTAGCTATTCCCCTTCAAGTACGTTGTCCGTCATAACTTTGTGATTCTAAGTCATTTGATTGCAAGTTTTTTCGGAATTTTAAGATTCTAAATTCAATTAGGGTTCTCCTTTTCAGAATTCGATTTTAAGTTTAGCGTATTCAGTTTAACGGACATGTTAATTGATGTTTTTGAGTAGTGGCTTTGGTTACTTGTACTTTAGAGTTTATGAAACATTAGATGTTTTATTGCTATTAATCATTTCCCACTGTCATAGAACTCCGTAATCAGTTTGATTTAAAAAAGTGATGGTGAACGAATGGTTATTTGTTTATGTCAATAATATGCCAAATGGATCGGATCGGTTGGTTATCTTTAGCTTTATGTTGTTTATGTCGACATTTTTCATTCAAATTCATGATTGCTTCTTGTTTATTGGTGTACATTTTATACCTACAGATAGTACATCAAGAACTACTGAGATTGAAAGCCTTTGTTACTTGAATGAAGCCGAAAATCCCCAGAAGGTTATACGAGACTTATATGTCCCCAATCCCCCTCTTCACTAGCACAAATAACTTTTTGTCCATTGTTGTTTTTTTATTGTGGTTAAAATGTTACCTTTGTCTTCTAGTTGCAGGAAACACCATTTAAGTCAAGAGGTTTCATAGATACCTTTAAGAAGCTGAAAATGGAACCAGGGAAACAAAAACAAAGGTAAGAGTGTTAGAGTTAGAGTTTCTTATGATTGGAAAGACTAGCTATCACACTTAAAACCCTTCATATAGAGTTTCCTTCTGTCAAACCTTCTTATGCTTAATTTCTCTTATATCTGTAGGGATACAGGTTTAACATGTAAGAGTGTTAGACCTCCACCTCGTAAGAAGCACAAGCTTGAAGAAGCAAAAACAAGACAGGTTGGTCCTTATTTTCTTTACACCTGAAATATGACAATTTATATTTTAGTATAGTATACATCGTCTAAGTTTTCTTCTTTTTCTTTTCATGCAGAATCATCAATGGAAAACAAATCTAACAATCCCCAAGATACCCTGTTTACAGACATTGCTGAGGCCACGACATCTGAAGATTAGTAATTCCAAAGAACAGCTGGAGAAAGCTCGGAAATTCAAGGCCAGACCTTTAAACAAGAAGGTATAAAACATTAAACCTTAAACTTTTATAATTAACTTTAACATATATACTTAAAATTCCTGTAGATACTTGAAAGTAAAGGGGAATTGGGGCTATTATGTAACAAAAAACGACAAGTCACTATACCTCAAGAATTTCATTTTGCAATTGATGAAAGAATTCCACCACGAAGAACAGTCAATGATGCTCAACTGTTTAACAAGGTCTGTGAGGAGGAAGCATATATGTTGTTATTCTCTTTTCTTTATGTAACCAAAAGATCATTGTTGTGTTCTTTTAACAGATTACATTGTGCTTAAAATCCCACAACAAGAAACTAATCCCAAGAAACACAATATCACGTCCCTTTCATTTCCAAACAGAGGAAAGAGGGGCACAAAAAGAAAGCAAATTTGTGGTCAAAATCCTACACAAGCAAATAGAAGAAGGGTGATGTTGCATCATTAAGTTTTATTTTCTTTTAAAGTATTAAAAGATGTTACACTTTTATTCATTTTCACCAAACCATGATTTTTGAAAAAATAGGTCATCCAATGTGGTCACAATATCCAAATCATCAACATTTAGTGATCTTGTGATGAAGGAAAGACGAAGAAAGTTGCAGCATCAAACATGAGTTAATTACAAAAGAAAGAACTAGTGTGTAAACAAGATTTTATTCAATACTAGTGAGCTCATACAAGTCAACACCAAAGGTTTAGTGGTCATTTTTTTGTATATCATACAATTAGAAGGTTGCTAGATGTGCAAGCAAGTTATTGCAAGTAAGGAAAGTTTAAAAAGGAAATTAAAGACTAAAAAATGGATTAAAAAAGCCAAAAGGTAAACTAAAATGAATGAAAAATGGATTAAATACGATAATCTAGATTGTTATGACATTCTTATCATATCATAGCATATAAGTCAATATAGACAAAATATGTATTGGGAAATTTAAAGTAAGTTATTAGAATGTATATATGTAGGTTATATGGAAAAAAGTTGTGGGAGAGTAGTTATGTAGGAGTAGCACACCCTCGTATTTCGCTACAGAAAGTTTTTGTATGTACAATTAACAAAAAATAATTTACTATAGAATTTGTACAAACAGAAAATCTTAAGGGAAAAAAAATACACAAAAACACAACCATTTATCTATCAGCATTTAAAAAAACCATTTTATTTTTTTATATGCAATAAAACCCTTACATTTTCAATTACCTTTCAGATTTACCCATATATATGTTTTTTTTTTGTTTTTTTTAAGTTACCGGTTGTTTTGTGATATGACATTTATCTTGTTCGTTTTTAGGTTGACATAGAAAAAATAAGCAATGTTTCTTATTTTTGCTTGAGTAAATAGTCGTTAAGTAAATGATGTATTTCTCAGGTTTACCTTAGACAAGAGCCAACGTCACTTATTTTTGTTTCTATGTTAACCTACAAACAAAAAAGATAAATGTCATGTGACAAAACAATCGAAAATTTATTTAAAAAACCGGATATTTTGGTTAATGTAAAATGTAACTGAAAATGTAAGAGTTTTTCTGGATATAAACAAAATATAAGTCTTTTTCTGAATGTTGGTAGATAAATGGTTGTGTTTTAACATAAAATATACATAAAAACAAAGATACATATAGTTAATTATGTAAAAAACATTAATTTTATAAAAGTAAATTCGTAAAAAGATGTACAAAGAAAGTTGGGAAAATTTTATAAAAATATTTGAAATCTGTAAAATTGAAAAAAAAAAGACATAAATGAAGATGTACAAAAAAAGTTAAAAAAAATTAAAAACAAAGTTGCAAAATGAGAAATTTGAAAAAAAAAAGATAAATAAAAGTTTAAAAATAAAATAAAATAAGTTCATAAAAAACCAAATTTATAAAAATAAAAATAAATTAATGTTTGGGCTAAAACTGTAGAAAAAAATAATAAACTAAAATTGTAAAAATATGAAGCTAGATAAGTCACGATATCAATAGCGGTTAGTGAGTTTTAACCCACAAAAAGATAAATGGAAGGGATGGATGTAACATTTCAAAATTTAAGACCAAAAATTTCATTTTTAATTTAATAATTATAAAACCATTTGTCTGAAAACATCATATAAACAACTCATATCCAAAACCAATGTATCGATAGTCAAATCATGTCATGATAAAACAACATCAGAGTATAACTCCCAAGAATCTAATGTGCGGAAATCGTGGCGTGATGCGCTGCAATCATGCCGACTCCTTTCCTTTCGAAGAAATACATGAAACCAATACTGAAAACCGTAAGCACAAAGCTTAGTGAGTTCCCCCATCATACCACATAAATACATACTGTCAGGCATATCTGGGTGCCCGACCAACCTTGCTGAGCATACCTGGGTGCTCAACCTAACCATGTTAGGCATACCGGGGTGTCCAACCTACCCTTGTCAGACATACCGGGGTGTCCGACCTACCCCTGTCAGACATATCTGGCTGCCCGACCTACCCTCCGGTTTATCTCAACCGGTTACGGAGACTATTTCACCCCTACCCCTACCACATAATAACATATCATAAACATAATGCAAGACATATCTGGGTGCTCGACCTACCCTCCGGTTTATCACAACCGGTTACGGAGTCTAACCACCCCTCCTACCACTATCACATATAGCATGGCATATATCATATAAATCACATCAGATAGTGGCAAACCATACAATTATCACAAAAACAATCATCTCTACTCTATACTCCTACTAGTGGGTCGACATTGATGTCTTAGACCCACTTCTACTGGAAGGTAACTCACCTCGATAACTGGAAGTAGCTGCAAAAACTCTGAATCCGGATATTACTTGACTCGAGCCCACATAGAAGATTTCCTTAATTACTCCTTTCATACTCATAACCCCTTAAGGGTCAACTTTGGTTAAAGTCCAAGTCAAAGTCAACATTCTGGGTTGACCCAACTCGCCGAGTTGATCCATCAACTCGCCGAGTTCCATAAATCATAAACCCTGAAATCGCGACCTAACTCGTCGAATTCCTCCCATCAACAGAATCGGGACACCCCGACCCAACTCGTCGAGTTCCGCTATGAACTCGTCGAGTTCTTCAGTTTGTTAAGCCCTTCTTAATGGATTAAGCTTCTTTTCTTCAGATCTAAGCTCTATACTCCACATATACACTGAAATAGTCCTTTTTGTTGGGTTATGAGCATTCTAACACTCCTAAGTGTACATGCAACCCTAAATACTTTGGATCTATGTT